TATTGTCAGGTCCAGGAGAGTGAGAAGATTTTAAAGAATTTATAGCAGAATGGAGAGAGGAATGGGAAATAATAGCAGCAAGTTTAGAAAAAGAAGGAGTAATAAAATAAGGCTGAGTTATTATTGGGACGTCTGTCCCAAGGACTTATTTCTAAAGGAGTAAGTAAATTAGAAAAATGAGCAAAAAGCTGCAACAGAGTCATTGGTTGCCTTATCCATCACAAGAGAAAAGAAGGTGACTGAGTTGAAGACGTAAACCTTAAGTTTACAATATAATAAAGCTGTCTCCGATTTTGAAAAACGAGCTGGATTTATAATAAAAAAGACTCGGCTATGGAGTATTAAGCCAAGTCAGCAGTCCACCCAGACTTATTAAGCTTTAGAAAATATTTGGACTTTATATTTTGTAGGTCTGATAGTCTAGGAGTAAGCCAGGTCAGCTAAGATGAAGCAGACAATGGGTTGAAGGGTGTTAAAACAACAATTTAGAGCAACCGCGTCATTTAAGCCGGAGCATTCAGCGAAAAGAGTTGACAAAAAAACAAAAAAAAATATGAATTCTTAGTCACCATAGATTGAGAGTCACCTGCTTGAGAAGAAAAGGCTTCGAAGGACATGGCACAAATCCGTAATTCTGTTGGACAAGGCGACGCCTAATGGAACTGTGGCCGCCTAAAAGAGAGTCATATACTTTCTGCCTGCGGCCGGGCTCGAACGTGCTGATCACAACTTTTGAAATGCAACCAAATACCTCAACAGGCCTAATCTGCAAAATATCTCAATGCAAAGCTCAGCTGGCCGCTCGTGTAAATTCAGCAAGAAAAATTGCTCGAATTTGCTAATCACTTGTAAGGCTTGGAGCCTCGTAGAATCAACTTGCCAGATGGATCTGCCAATACCACTGGATGAGTTTTAAGAAATTGTAAAATAAATTCCGGGCTCAAAATATTTAAGGTACAGGGGTGGAAAGGTGCTTCCTTATTTGAAGGCTCAGTCGCTTCCAATGAAAGTGTGTCCAGCCAGAAAATGTCAAGTTTTCTAGCGTTTCCTTCATAAATAAATAAAAAGTATACCTGAGAGCAGAATTTGGCAAATGCCAAATACCATCAGATTAAGCAATTTCCAGAGCAATGCCATAGCATTAAACGGCAAATCATCAGGGATTTCCCTTATTTATTTATTTTTTATTCCATATCTAATTACCTTTTCGTTTTTATCATATACACATACCAAATTTTAGCAATTACAAGAATTAGTTAAGTAACCCTTTATGGATCCTGCTTTTGTACATACAACAACACCCGTTTGTATTACATATTTATGCCCTGACAATTTCAAACTAAGGTGCGCGTTTTTGCGTAGAGGCCTTGCAACAGTACATAAGAACTTAATGAATACGTCTTTCAGCGAATTGTAAAATTCCACACACAACAGCGGTTAATTAGCGAAAAACGTTTGTATAAACGCTATAAAGCTGTTGGTCCTGACTGACTGACTGATTGGTGGACAACGGAAAGCCCATACCGTACGAACTGGGAAGCTGAAAATGTAGTTACCTCATGTGGTAAAGGTGCACGTTAAGACGGTGTTTCGGGAAAATCTACCCGCAAGTGTGGTAAAATCGCAAAAAACGTTTGTATGAAAATTTTTTGTATACCATCCAACTGGCCTCAAACTCATTTTTAAAGATTCATTTTAGGGGTGTTACAAACTTTTCGAAAATTGCGTTCCTCCTTGGTGGAAATGGGGGTCAGAGATTTGGTGGGTGACTTTTGCGCTCAAATTCATTGCAATGAAAATCATTTGAGACGTGTTTGCACATTTTTCGAAAAATCAGAGCTTCCTCGGTGGAAAGTACGATTCAAAGAGTTTTTTGATGAAGTTTTGACTTTTGTCCGATTTGCTTCAAACGTATTTTAGCGACATGTGAAATTTCACCCACAACAATGGTAAATTGGCGGACAACAATTTTATTTACCGTCTGATCGGTTTCAAACTCATTTTTAATGATCTTTGAGATAATTTATTTTATAAGGGCCACGGGCAAGGCCGGGCAATACCCGCTAGTATACATATATTTATATTTGATCAGATCAAAAGTCGAGTCGACATAACCATGTCCGTCCGTCAGTTTTTAAGCTATAGTCATAAAATTAGGTAAATGTCAATCTTTCTGATACGAAAAGTATTCATGTTGAAATCAGACGGATCATATATCTATATCATATAGCTTGCAGAGTTACCGTCGAAAATAAAGTTCTTGTATGAAAAACTCATTTGTTTTACAAGATATATTAATGAAACTCTGCACCTGGTGCACTGGTGCATCTTATACATGATCAAAATATAATTTTCGAGTTTAACTTTTCTGAGCTTTAAAGTATTCCCTCGTCGTGTTCATCTGTTATGTTGGCCCATCCATACGTTTGCCCTTGGTATTGTTATAAGCTTAATTTTGTTTTGAGTGTCTTTTTCGACACTTTAAACCATAAACCCATTTAATGTTCACATTGATGGTTTGTTTTAAATCTCATTAATAGACAAAACAAGAACTCGCCACCTCTATTAATTACATATACAAGTCAGTACCAATAGATGCGGCAGAGCTGATTGTTTCGCTCGCACCACACTACTGAGAATTTAACATTGAATATATTTTTATTTCTTCACTCAGTAGTGATTGACTGCATGCCGCAACATAGTCGTTCCCGTCTATTATCAGCCACCAGTTTGAATCCAAATAAAATTTCTCCAACCCTTGCGTCGGATTTTACCACCCCTGTAAAGCACTGCTGATCGCTCATCGCCGGATTGAGCAAACTTAAAATTTAACTTCTAGAATATTAAATGCAGAGCAAGTAGTTATCGCCACAATCCCTTACCCCTTGCAACCACCATATAACCATAAATTAAAGTAGTAAATCAATTAGAAATATTTGCTAATTATATGATAATTTTAATGCTTTTGTCTTTCTGAAAATATCCGAATATTCTATAATACAATACGATTTTTTGCTAAAAATCATTCAATATCGAAAAATTGAAATTACACACAACTTAAAGCTCCATAGAACAACTTAATGTATATGTGTTTTAGCGATTTGGGAAATTTCACTCCCCACAAAGATCAAGTGTGTTGTATATTATATGCACACATTCGCACATTCGTCACATTTAATGAGTATGTATGAACAAATGACATTTATATATCTCCCATAGAATTATCATTGGTTTTAAAAAAATAAATAAAATTCTTGAAAAACAGAAAAAGTTAATTTAATTCTTGTTCGTCTGGGATTGGCCATGCTCCGGTTCGCGGGTGTACGTGCTCGAAGCAGATCGCGTTCGACAGTTTCGTAGTATTTGAGAGTCGGACTTTCCCGACATAGATTTGAAAATAATTTTGTAATTAATTTGCTATGGCATAAAAGACATCTCAGACCCGGTAGATTATATATATTCTAGATCAGTATTAACATTGTCATTTTGGCTGTTAATATGCGAACTCTCAGTCTTATAGGTATACTTCTGAAACTTTGCAAAGGACATGTAAAAAGACTTCTTGTTTTTCACGAAATTTGATCAAACTCGTCGATAATAGCTTTACTGTGTTTCTAAAATATGATTTAAATCTATATCGTATAGACCTATAAGAAGAAATATTTTGTGTGGCAAAAGGTTATTTTATCATTATTCTTCTCCTAAATTTGCAAAACCGTAAGCTTAATGCCCAATTTAATCTTCAACATCAGGAGCCGGGTCGGTCTCTATATGCGTCAGTACGAGTTTGTTTTAAATCTTCAAACGAGTTTTCCCGCTTCCATAAAATTTTTAAAAATCTATATCTATATCCCGTGTTCTTAGCGTATCTCAGATTTGTTAAGAGTAAGAGGCACCAAATCTGATATGTAGACTCTCTTATAGTATACACAGATCCAGAATATTTATCTTAAAAAAATAAAACTATATAAAAATCGAACAATCAAGAACGAAGTGCATATTTGTGGGGCTGGCGGAAAAAGCGGCGCAGCCGATGCGTAAACTAGAACGTTTGTGGTTGGAACTAATCGCGGCTTTCGAAGAATCCCGCAGTGGGGACCTGTTGACTAGAGTACCAACTATTTGCCAAGGCAAAACCTTTTATTAATTACTATTACTATTTTTATTAAAATTATTAATATTTTTTTATATTTATTATTATAATTATTATTATAATATCTAATATAGTAGTGAGAATGTATAAACTTAACTAAATGGCATTCGGCTCAAAGAAGAACTGAGACACTGACAAAGCATCCACTGGAAACTGTATGTAATATTTTAAAGTTAGTGTACCTAAAAGAGTTTCAATACGATATTTGACTGATTTAAATTTGATATAGATACTCCACTTTTTTTTTATCAATTCCATTATGTAAAAGCAGTCCACACAGACTCGTCAAAAGTTTTTACACGATTTTGAGTTGGTACTTCTGAAAAGTGCGTGGAAGCATTGTTGCGTTGTGTGAAAATACAAGCTTAGCAAGCAATGATATTTTTATACACAATAGTAAGGGAAATTTAACAATTTAAAAATGCATTTAACATTCCTGAACTAATTTCAAAAATGCGACCTCAAGTCCCATGAGGGTTGAAACAAAGTCACTTCCTATTGGTGAACTAAGCAAAAAGAGTGAAGCAGCAAAGAATATTTGTATATAATGACATCGTTCTCTTTTTAACGCACGTGATTGCCTTTCACGTTCTAAAGAGTGAGTGAAACAAGTATGTTTAAGAGGAGGCAAGCATTATTTAAGCGGCCTAAAGCCAGTTAGCTCTGAATTCCAATGCCAGCCCATCGTTGTTGTCTCTGCTCTCTTATTGGTTAGTTTCATTAAAATGAATAGGCAATATTTTGATGTTTGTTTTGTTCAACGAAGTATGTAGCCAGTACCAACAGTGCAGAGTTATCGTTAATAGGAAAAACTTATTCGAGGGCTATCCAGAAGCCATCTGAGGAGTACTCGTCAGTACTGTTCAGACCTCTTATTTCATTTGACGGAATCGTGTCGAGTGGATATTCATAATAAATTCACTGACGTGGGCTTATGTCTTTAATTTTACATACTATACATATATTGTGCAGCAGAAACAAAAAATTTGTGTTACATACTCTAGTGCTTTGTTAAAAGAAGATAATGACCGTAAACAATTGCTTACAGTTTAGCCAATGCTGGTGCTAAAATTATTGTATACCAAACATAGTTGATAATAGCATCACATTAGTTTGTATAATTTATAAAATTCAATAACAGTGATACTCAAAAATTTCTTCACGGAAGATTGAAAAGTTCAAAAGTGCACTAATAATGAATAAAGTATGAAGAAATATTATCTGAAAATTTTAAACTATTAATAAAATGAAATTTTAATTTTTATTTATTATACGCTGATCCAATTGAAAATGGGTAAAAATGCCATACGGGCTTTGAGAAAATGTATGTAACAGGCATAGGAAGCATTTTTGTCCCCAAAAAGTTTATATACTCTTGGTCAATACCCGATTTTAAAAAGCTAGAGCCAGCAAATTTGATATTTTGCTTCTAGTAGAGTTTTTGCAGAACATATATCTATCGTTTATTCAATATGTGACAGTCAAAAGCATTAACAAAAACAACAGCCGAGCTTATAGGTCTGTATGCACAAAAGTGTCATAGATATGTATGTGTATATATTAAGTTACTGTTAAAATATTCGTCTTTCTGTTGAAGGCAGTTCATATGTATGTGGCAGCCGGCCGGATCGGCCAATATGCAATATAGTTACTACAGGAACGATCGGTCGTTAAATAAGTGGTTCTTCCTTATCAAGATACCAACCTCGGCATTTATTAATTTCGTGTATTATGCTGCCATACGGACGATCGATCAAAAAATAGATTATTGAAAGAAAACTTTTTTGTCTAGCGAGATATCTTGACCGACCCCAACAATTACTTCTTACAATATGCTTCATTTAAATGTAAAAAAACGGATCTATATTTCAATACAATATTATAAAGCTCCATAGAAAGAATTGGGCGAAAATTGTTCTCTGTTTGGGTTAATATACTGTTTTAAACGAAATTTTTTGATCAAACACAGCACTTACGAGCTTTACTATTCTCAAATATATGCACAACTGTAAGGCGAATTAATGATATTAAATATTCGTCGTGCCGAAGATATCCTTATGTTCTCGTTATAATATATCATAAATTATAAAATGTTCGAATGTATATTAAAGTTGTTATAAGTAAAGCCACCCCCTTGGGGGTGTCTACTTATAAACTAAGGCATGACCAAGTATTTGGTAAAATAAATTCGGAAAATGGCTTAGCTAAAAAGTATATATCGATATAATGTTGATAACTTATAGCATAATAATGATTCGATGATTGGTGAGTTTTGAAATCAGTAAATGATAAGTTTTTTTTTTTGGTAATTTCGGGGGTACAAAAACCGACGGTCTATATCGAGTTTTGCCATAATGGCTTGAACTGTGGGTGACTGAATTGCGCATGCCTTATGAAAACGAGGCAGAGTAACGCCCAAACGTATTGAATATGACTAAAAAAAGAACCCCTAAATAATATTTTATTGATCAACTTCAACACTCAAGTAGATGTAGCCATTGTTTGTCCGCATGTCTGTTCATCCGTACGCCCTTTCAAAAAATTCGATCTGTGTGTGCTCTAGGAGGACCTTAGTTCCAAGCCAACGCGTCAAAGTACCAAACATACCAATTGGGTGTATCTAGCTGTCTTAGTTTTTAATCTGAAATATACACATATATTATGTATATGCAGCCCATACATAATATATTTGTATTTTATGTACAAAGATTAGGAACACTTAACTTTTTTTTTTTTAATAATAAAGAACTAGTTATTCAATAATAAATTGGCCATAGTGTGTCGCAGGCAGAATCAGCAGCGGAATTCATAATGGTTTCAAGAATCCGAAGAGAAGCGCTTTAAATCAAAAAATGTGATTGACGTTTGTAACCGATCACTTTTGACTGCACCGTTCTTACTTGTCCATTAAATAAGTTGGCAAATGGTGTATTGCTTTGGTCTTAAGCCTGATATAGCTTTTGTTTGTATATACTTACTTATTTATTTTATGTTAACTAAATGCGTTCTTGTGCGAAACATCAGTTGTTTGCCAATGTTTGGAGCAGGTCGACGGAAGTAACTCGAATCCTATATACCCTTGATCTGCATTAATAGCCGAGCCGACATGTCAATCTGTCTGCCCGTCTGTCTGACAGTATGTCTGAACAAGTTGACCTCACAACCTGTATGCTAGACTTGATTTGTTACGAAAGTCATACTAGTGCCCGCGCAGTACAAATTTATTTCGGATAATCCTGTTATACTAGCAAATCTCTTAGACTTCAAGAGTGAGAGTCACCAAAGTCATGTAGGTTTTAGACTGGTATATACAGGTCAAGTATCTTTAATTTATTGCAATCGGCACCCCTCTACAATCCAATAATTAAAAATATATTTAAAAAATCAATTAGAACTGTACATTAATTAAAGGCCACACTTTTAAATAAATTGCCCTTTTGAGAATATACGAACATTATATGCCACAAAAATCTACTGCTGAAGAGAAATTACAAAAAACATGGGCTTATATTCAGATGTGATGCTGTATTTAGCACAAAGTGCAAGATGCATGTATTTTTAAAATTCTATAAACATTGGAATTGCAATTGTATTCTGTGCTATACATATTTTCTGCTATTTAAATTCGTTACTTTTCTTCAAAATGAATTTTTGGTATCGCCGTGGCAACTTATTCGGTTGACTATGAGTTCAGTTCAATTGAGGAAGTTATTTTTCATTTTAAACTTTTTTTGTATTAGTGCTAAAGCAAACGAGCTCGTCACGCGAGCTGCATTTGGTGTTCCTAGAAGAGGGTTCAGGGTATCGCCATTCGAGAGCTCCCGACAAGAGCTACCTACATGTGTATACCCTGATTCAACTATAACTGCCTCAAACTCAAACTCTTTCCACCTTATTGATAATTAAATTCACGTCGAAGGCTTTTTAGGAAGCAGCTTTAAGTTTATACCCATTGGCTTTAAACATATTTTCAAAGCTCTCTAGCGTTTCAATCTAATGTGGCAGTTTGGTGGGAAGCAGACAAAGAAGCGGTGAAAAATGTGGTTCAACGTTTGAATGAGCGAAATTGCCCAGATTTTGAAACAATTTGTTTGTAACGTGTTCCACACTTTTCGGAAATTCCACCCCTACTTGGCGGAAAATAGACGGGAAAGGTGGAAACTTATCTTTCAAGTTCAACATGAAAACCTGTTAAGTAGTTGAGTTCAGCAATTTTTGTAATGCTGCATGTCACTTTTGTGTTGACCATTCCATGCCTTTTAATGCACTTAGCATATTTCTTGTAATATTTACCCTTAGCAAGTTTATTTTTGGGTTTCAAGCTTTGGAGCAGAAATATGCACCGGCTTGAATATTTAGAAAAAATTTTAAATATTTTGTAACTACAGTTCGGAGCGATGTATAGGATACCTTCTAATCAACTAGATCTGTGAATGGCTGAAGAGAACCTATATGCAAAATTCTAATCTCTAGCTACTATAATTTTTAAGATCGGACAAAAAGTCAGGTCAAGCATATGTTTTATGAGGTCGAAAATATTGGCCTGTTACATAAAATTGCACAAGCCCATAATCCTATTTATCCATTTCAATGGGACAGGGTAAAATGGCTGAGTTCAACGGACATAGTCCTCTTATGTCGTTTTAGTCGTTTTATGTAATCAAAACAATTGTATATGTTTATTCTTTATATTTGTAGATTCAACAAATTTGAAAGTAACGCTTAGAGTAAAAATTTTCGTATGTCAGCATCAAATATAACTAAAACATCATTTAATGAACGCCGGTGCTTTCGAGCAAAACCTGAAGAAGAGGAATCTAGTTTGGGTAATGAAGCAGATTTGGTTATGAGTTTATCTCAAAAAGACATACTTATACCCACAGCGGCTTCTCAGCAGCAGCAGTTGGAACCACTTTTAAAACATAATACAAACGATACATCAACACAGAACTCGGTTTCTGCGGCGGCCGCTGTCGCGGTTGCACATCACCACCATAGTCTGTCTAGTATTCAACATCTTCAGAACTTGCATACCCAGCATCACAGTACTATATTCAACAACAACCACTCAACTCCGTTTAGTGTGACTGATATTCTAAGTCCAATAGAGGAATCATACCGCAAACTGGAAATAAACGGTAACCCGCCATCTCCATTTCGGTAAGTTCATTATTAAACAAGTAAGAGGCTCTAGTCGGGGCTTCCCGACTAGGGGATACCCTGAACCCTCTTCTTCAAACACCAAATGCCGTAATAAAAATAAAAAAATAATAAGAAATTAATAGGTCCCTCCATGGGGTTCGAGCTCGCAACAGACCACACTACTTGCCGCCGCCTCTACTCTACAGCCACACCAATAATTGAGTCTTAATGGGAAAAGAACGAATTAAAAAATCAGCACAAAATAACAATACAATCGCAATTGTTAATAGAATTCAGAATAGATGCACATGCATGTGTGTGTGTACATGTATAGATACAGATATTCTTGCTATTTGCGCTGGTTGCCGCAAACTCGTGTCCAGCCAAAACATGTTTTCTTTAATAACTTCTGTGTTTATAAACAGATCTTTATGAGTCTTATTGTACTATTGAATACTTATATCTTCTCAAAATGTCAATGTCGACTCTACCCAACAGCCACACCACAAAAAAAAAAAGAAAACACTTTCCCCGGTAGGGCTCGAGCTTGCGACATACCGCACCACTTGCTATGCCTCTACTCAGCCGCCACACTAATAATTAAGTAATATTTAGAAAAAAAAAGAATTTAAATAGCAGAACAGAAAGAAGTCGCAATTACCATGCTGTTAGAATGCGAAGCAGACGCGCAGAATGTGTGTGTGTGCACATATACAGAAATTCGCTAGCTGCCCCATGTAATTGCACAGTTACATTAAAATTTGGTTTTTTCTTTCATTATGAAATTTTCTACAGTATATCTTCTTGTACCATAGAATATTTGTGTATTCTCAAAAAGCCAATTGCATTTAAATTGTGGTTTGGTTATTAACTTGATTTAGCGTAGCGGTAGCGGGTATAAAATGAAAGATACTTGACACATATATAATATTCTGGAAGCATCATGTCGATTGCTTGGAAACGGAGTAATTTATCGATTATCGGAAACAAACTCAATCTACGCGGGCACTAGAAGGACTTACATCTAAAATTTCAAGTCTCCAGCTCCCATAGGTTTTGAGATCCTTGCGTTCATACATATGGTCGGACGGGCAGACGGACGGACAGACTAGATCGACTGGACATAACTAGATCGACGCGGCTATTGATGCTGATCAAGAATATATAAACTTAATGGGGTCGGAGATGCTTCCTTCTGCCTGTTACATACATTTGCATTTTGCACAAATACCTTTAAGCCCCTTTTTTAATGGGTGCAGGGTATAAAAACAAACGTTCAAGATTAATTTGTATCGATTCCATGGAAACGGATAAAGTTATCGATGACATTTATTAGACTCGCACTACTTGTGCACAAAGAACACCCACTTCGAGGTATTCAGGGTGGGGAAATTAATACCATTTTTAAAGTCCACCCTTTAGAAAGAAAATGTGGAAAAACTTGATTGCACGTGAAACCATTGAAAATTAGTTGTAAATCTAAAATGGATTCAGAACACATAAGAGCGAGGTATAAGGGAACTAGATTGTGTGTCCGTGTTTTACGAGCTGGATTCAATTTGTTTATATTTTGCATAAAATGCTCGTCCCGGATCCATGAAATTGATAAAAGTCGATATCAAATTCCTGATCATATCTCATGGTTACTTAAGGAGTAAGCCATGTAGAATCTCATAAACTTAGTAGCATAGATTGCGTATTATGTTAGAATAATCAATCCTCAATCAAATACAAAGATTAGCTGCCGAAAAATATATATGAATAGATTTACAATTGTGATAGTTAGGTATATGTAGGCTGCAATTTTAAACTCTAATAATCTAGTTTGTAGATAGTGTGGAGCTCAAGCTTCAGAGAGAGAATTCTTATTTTCTTTTAATAATTTCAAGACCCAAAATCCATTGAAAATGTGCAAAATGGTATAATGGTTTTATGAAATGTATGTAACAGGCAGAAGAAAGGATGTCCGACCTATGAAATATATAAGACTTGATCAGTATCAGACGAGTCGATCTAGCCATTTCCGTCTGTCCGTATGTATGAACGCATCGAATTCAAAACCTTTAAGAACTAGGCTTGAGACTTGAGAGACTAGTGCCCGCGCAGTAAGGGGTTGTTTCCGATAATCAATAACATAATTTTGTCCCGAAATGTTTAACGCATAGAAGGAGACATCTCCGACCCCATAACGTATATATGACCATGATCAGTGTGAACAGCCGAGTCGATATAGCTATGTCCGTCTGTCTGTTCCTAAGCGAACGGTTATCTCGGGTTTAAAGCTTTCGTCCTTGAACTTTTCATATGTCCCTTTTTTGATCGGTCGAACACTGGGTTTTTTTATGAAAAACTATTCTATTTATCTAGATATCGTAACCAAACTCGGCGTTCATTAGTTTAATTATGCGTCTCATATTTGGGCAACATCCTATTAATATCGGACTACTATATCATATAGCTGTCATAGGAACGATCGGTCGAAAATTAAGTTGTTACATGAAAAACTCGGCATTTATTAGTTTTACTATGCGTCTCATATTTGAGCAACATCCTATAAATATCGGACGACTACAACATATAGCTACCCATCATGTAGCTAAGAAAATTAAGTTGTATGGAAAACTTTTTGTTTTTCAAGATATATTTACCATACTCGGCAATAACTATTTTTCCAGTTCTTCATAGATGGAGAATAGCATTATGAGTATTATAAAAATGATCGGTCTACAAGGGTATTCAATCATCGGCGTGCCGAAGATTTTCTCGTTTTAATTGATTTTTTTGTTCGTTGAAAATTAATTTTTGTAGTAATAGTAGAGGCGGTCGCAAGTCGGTCGATTACTGGTCCAGTTGAGGGAACTTTTAATAATATTTTTTTTTCATTACTTCATTTGGTGCTGGTAGAAGAGGGTTCAGGGTACCTCCTTCAGGGTACCTCCTGCATAAGGCAATGTCTAGTAAGTAGTTCGTTTTGTTAAACTGGCACAGTTTGAAACCGCAGGAGGGAACTTTTTTTTCAATAATGTTAGTTTCTACCCCAATCAACTAAATATGTAAGAATTGCATGTTTTAAATTGCGCGCAAGCTTTTCTGATGCTGGTAAAATATGGATTCGGCTAGTTCCTCGTCGGGTACTTTCGACTAGAGTACTCTTGTTTCATGTTTATTTAGATAGGGCAATTTATATAAAGGAAACACGCCATTGTCTGAACTATACGGATGTCTTCTGGAACTTATCGACGCATAAGTTTGTGCCCCGCGTTTTCTAAAATTGATTATATAGCGCTGCAAAGATTTTCTTAATTAGTTAAACTAACTTGCTTATTAGATTCGAGTTATTACTTAAAACTTAAAATATAAACTATCATATTCTCAATTATTTATGGGTATGTTATAGGTATTCATTTATTTTTCTGTTATTTATTTGTTACTATTATTATTTGTATTATAGCAAGATGTGCCATTAGACATTAGACCTGGGTTTTACTTTGGGGTATTGTCTTAAGATTATGTGGTAAGTTATGTTGGGCTGAATAGCAGAAAAGGATTAATTACGCTTAGAGTGTGCTTGCTTATGCAAACTGATTGATCTTGTAGATCATGCAATGGTTCACAAATCAAACAAATATTTTAAGGACATGCTCTGTTCATCCCAGATTATTATATTTGCCAACATTTTTAGAAGGTACTATTAGTTTTTGCTGACTGACCTCATATATTAAAACCTGTATTTTAAACAACAGTGTTGCTTGTAAATCTGTTGAAGACCCCAGGCATACATTTGCACAAATACATTATTCCCTTTTTACTCATTTTAAATGGGTTCAGGGTATAAAAATTAACGCTTCTTTCTGTTAAAACCTCAATTCTCTTAACAATATTTCTCGTACTCGTTCATTAAACTTATCCCCAGGTCTAGCAATCTTTATTCTAACTAAAAATATGTATTCTATATTAATGTTGCATATTCATCTAGAGGTGATTAGTTGACAGTCGATAGATGGAAGATAATAATTTTGTTGCAATCATATCGCTTAATATCATTGTTAAGCTTCGTATTATGCAAAATACTTCTATACTTAATTAAGAGGATACCCTAAACCTTCAAAACACCAAATTACCTCAGCCTCACACTTTTCTTCATCCTTTCTATGGCATGAGTGAATATATTAGAATTGCAAAAAATAAATTTAAGCAAGTAAGAGCGTCTAGTCGGGAATTCCCGACTAGAGAATACCCCGAATCCTCTTCTACCAACGCCAAATGCAGCTCGTGTTTCGAGCTCGTTTTCATAAGCCGTATTAAAAATAAGATATAATAAAAGTTCCGCCAATGAGACTCGAATGCGTAATATACCACACACCTTGCCACCGGCGATACTCAACAGCCATACCAATCATTAATTTCCGCATAGCATCGCATACACACAGCATGCGTGTCCCGCAAAAACACGTTTTGTTTAACAGCTTTTGTGTTTTCTAACCGATCTTGAATTTCAACAGTAGATTTATGGTGTTATAGAATTTTCGCGTATTCTTAAAAAGTCAATTGCATTTAAATTGTGGCTTATTTAGGTGGGTAGGTAAAATTGGTTTTTACGACAGCTATAAAATTAAAGAAACTTGAATAGAAGAAACTTGACTAGAACTAAAAACTTGCAAGATTTCCTAAGAAAAACGAGCTTTTTATCGGGCTTTGCGTGGTAACGGGGCAAGCAATCGATTATCGGAAACAAACTCGTAATACGTGGGCATTGGGAGGACCTACATTCCACATTTGTGTAACTCTTATAGCTTCTGTATACTGACAGATGGACGGACGGACGGATAGACGGACAGACAAACATGGCTACTGATGTTGATCAAGAATATACATACTTATGGGATCGGAAATTCATCCTACTGTCTGTTACATATATTTGCACAAATGCATTATACCCTGTTACCTATTTTCAATGGGTTCAGGGTATAAAAATAATTTAACGAAAACAAATAGTTCCATCAACAGCACGCGAACTCGTAATGGATTGCACTACTTGCAACCGCGTATACTCAATAGCCATACCAGCAATTCTTACTTAAAATGAAAAAAAAAAAACAATTGAAATAGAAGCGCATACACACAGCATAAGAGACAATAAAACCACAATTGCAATGCTGTTGAAATGTGTGTACGTGTGTACAGAAATTCTTGCAATCTGCGTTTACTGCCCCAAGCTCGAGGCCAGCCCAAGCACGTTTTCTTTATTAACTTTTGTATTTCTTATCCGATTCTTATTGGGCTATAGACTATTTGTATATTCTCAATAAGTCAATTGCATTAAAATTGTGGCTTAAATTGGTGGGCAATAACAATTTGTATTTATTTAATTGATTTACAACTGTGTGTATGTGGCGAGCAGGTGACGATAGCTATAAAAACAAAGATAATTGGCATATATTTTCCATTCTAAAGCTACATGTCATGTTTGGGGAATCTAGCTCTTATAACATAAGAGATTTTCTCAAAAACCAGGATTTTAATATCGACGTATGGACGGGCAGACCGACGGACGGACATGGCTAGATTGACTCCGGTATTGATGCTGATTAAGAATATATATACTTTATGGGATCGGAAATGCATCCTACTGTCTGTTACATACATTTGCACAAATACATTATACCCTACCGGTCAAAGTTGAATCCACCCTCAACCGACAGAACAACTAACTGTATTACCCAATACCTTATAGCCACACCAAGAAGTGCATTTTTGTGAAAAACAACAGAGCTAAAATTGCAGCATACACGCAGCACAGCATACAACCATACAACATACAAATGGGACAGCTAGTATAACAAATGTAGCCGTTGATTTCCTTTAGTTCTGGTCCTCCGACCTCAAAAAACGTGAGAGTAAGAAGGCCATAATGTGTAGTAGAACGGCATCGCTGTTTTTTATTTCGCTTCCTCTGCAAGAAACTGCTTTGGCTTACTCTTGGTGACTTCACTTCTCTCTTAAAAATGTATATTTTCTTAAAAGTATGTGTATGAATGTGGCCGCACATTTCATTGATTTGACAACTCTATGTGCCGTAATTTTAATCCCAGGTAATTATGAATATATGCTAAGAAGTTCGAAGCTGTATACACTTAATCTCTTGATCACACATTGTCAACTGGGGAAATTTTTCTTATTAAATTATGGACAATTATCCACACGGAAAATATATAAATATCTTTCCATAGTAATTAAACAATTTTCATTTTATTTTTTTCCAGGTCTAATTCAAGTGGTAGTAGTATTAACTCCCCTGGAGCAATTAGTACTTCAACAATGGCGAATCCCTATGCTATGGGGTCATTGTATCATAGTCCGGGAGTGCAAAGCTATTGTGGACCTACAGATAATTTATCATTGGCAGGACACTACACGGATATGAGGGGCTCGGCTTCCTGGTATGGATCAACTGCAAACGATCCCAGATTTGCAAGTACGTAAATAAAATATTAAACCGCCAGTTCATTGTACCATAACAAACTTAACTTTAATAATAATAATAAGCGTTCATATGCGAATGTAATGGGAGAATTTGTTTAGGTCTGCCTTTTGACAGTCTGCTTGAAGATATATCACAAGTACATTATTATATTCTATTTTCCGAAAACTCAATTCCTGAACGTGTTTCTATGCATGTTAATTCAAGAACTTAAGTTTAAGATCATACATGGCAACGGTACGCATAAAACTATGTGCCACATAAAGCGTCCCGTCAGCAATTGCAATTTTGAAATCGAATTATGTCATATGAAACATCAAGCACTATCCGACATACTGCAAATACGATGGTTCCATAAAAGTTTCCAACCACTTATAAAAAACCTGATTTTTATGTGCAAAATTTTGGCTCTAAAGATGTGCACTAAGGCATTCTTCTTGCTAACTAACGTTGTAGGATTATTATTATTTCAAATTTATCTCTTTTTAATTAATCTCAGTAACAAACATATGAATGAATGAATTAGATATACATATACGTATATATATGTATATATGTATATATATGAACATACATATGTACGTAAATAGGTAAATATATTAATATTTAGAAAATTTTTGTAAACACATCGAAAAATAAACAGAAAAGGCAGAAAACTGTTCATGCTAAACACTTGAAACTGTTTACTTTGCTTTTAGGTAAATATATTCAAAATGACAATTTGTGCTGAGTCACCCAATCACTGTTGAGTTTCTTATGCTATTTTTTCTAAAAATGAAAAAGGTTTGCGTGAGAATAATTGATTTTAAATTATTTTGTTGTCATTGTTTATTTAAGAAATGAAAAGATGATTTTTATTTTTCACACATATGACGCTTCTGAACCATTTACCTTACTTATATTATTGAGAGGGCTGTCATAAAAGGAAAGAAGCAGATGGAGATACTCTAACAGCTTCCATCTGTGTTATCACGCAACAAAAACAATATAGCTTTAAGTAATTGAATGTGGGACACCATGAAAATGATTCAAGACTACTTGGAATCATTCGTACACAGAAAAACCCGAGAATTTTAGGATATATTCCTCTTTTTTATAGATATGTGAGAATAGTGCAGATCGAAAATTCGGAGTTTGTTGAAAATATAATATTTTTGAAAACAAAATATATTGTATAAGCGTGGTTAAGTTATCTTAATATAATAATACATTTCCATGTCAGAACCAACCCATCGACCGATCGTTCCTACTTCGGCTTTATTATATAGAGGTGCGTTGTTGATAATTGGAAATATATAGGGAGCCGTAAAAAAACAGCAAAGTTTCAAGACGATAGCCTTAAAATTGACTAGTAGACTGGTTCGCATAGATGCAGACAGACGGACATGGCAATATCAACTCGGATGTTGAATCTGATTTAGAATATATATATATATATATATTTAAAAACTTTATACGGTCGCATATGTCTTCTTCTATGCGTTACACCGTTCAGGATAAAATTAAAATTCCCACTACAATAAGAGAGATTATAGTAGAGTAGACATTATTAAATTGTTAGCCAATCAAATTACATTGTAATTAAGCATTGAATGAAATTTACATTATTAAATCCACTCGGAACACTATATTATATAACGAACAAAAGAAAGATTGGTGAAAAATTTAGTTGTTGCATGAATAACTTTTTTGTTTATCGAGGTATTTTGACCAAACTTGGCATTTACTATTTTCAGATATGCAAAGCTTATCTATGTAACATTGAAACGATATATCAACGATCGGTTTTTAGCATTTTTTGTTCTTTTTAACAATTTTCTATGTTTTCAGGGCTCATATTTAAAAAAAAAATGTTTCTTCACACTAAATTCTAAAATAAAGAAATTTATTTTTGATAGCTAACAAAAGATATGGTGTTCCATTCATATACAAACATAGGAGATACCCTGAACCTTCTTTGACCAAACCACCTATTACCTATTTAATGGATAGGGAGATATACTAGCATTATACAAAAAAAAAAAACGTTGTGACCTGAAAGCCACCTTCAACGACTTTCCATCGCTTTATACCTTACAGCCATACAATATTATGGATTAAGAACTGAGCTAAGATAGCAGCAAATAAACACAGCACAGCATATGTGTGTGTATGTATGCATGAGAATATATGAGAATATATGTTAGAATATATATACTTTATGAGTTTGGTAATGTTTCCTTTTCCCTGTTACATAAATTTGTACAATGGGTTCAGGGTTGCGGTCATGCAACTACATTGAAGCGACTGAACTACTTGGCGTCGCCTTATATCTACAGCTAACCCAAGAATTTAAATTTATTTTCATATACACAGCACAGCATTTAATTTCATAGCAATAAGGCGCTTTTGTCAATTCTTGATATCGCCATATTCTGATATTGAACACTATTTTACTTACTTATGTCTCAGGCTTCCTCGTGCCTTTATTTGTCGCGATTTTCAATACAGGTCCGGGCCTGCATGAAAATAGAGATTTATGCCCCAGATTCTTGCTTGAAATTTTCCTGGAAAAAATAGAAAGCTCCCGGTTATTATTCTATATATTAATCAAATAATCAAAAAATTAATCTGAAACCATCTTTTGTTACAGTATCGCGGCTTATGAGTTCATCAGCTAGTGGATCGATGGGCCACATGGGAAACATGACAGGCTTAGCTGCATGCAGCGTAAATGATGCAAAGCCCCTACAATTTCCTTTGGCACAAAGACGAAAGAGAAGAGTTCTATTTACACAAGCACAGGTTTGTAATATCTTATCATATAGTATAGAATTTATTTATTGGGATGAGGGGCAAGTCGATCTAACCATGCTCGTCTGCGTGAACGAGTCGAAATGTTTTTGAATACGCAATACGAACTTATCATCCATTTCGATATATTCTCCCATTTCCTCTTATTTTCATAATGTCGATAAGAAGAGACATTAAAGTATAGTTAATTGTGCCCCGATCCCTTTGAAAATGGAAAAAAGATAAAATGTTTTCTTTTTTTGCGAAAGTATATACATCTTGGTCAGCATCAATACCGAGTCGATCTAGCCTTTACGTCCGTCCGCTTGTAAAAGAATAAGTGACTTGATGTTTAGAAATTTGGTTCTTTATTTCCGGTAATCCGTAATTTTATATCTGTCGTCACGCCCGGCTCTATCCAATGCTCTAAATCATATGAAAAAATCTATTGAAGGTAGTTCCGAGTAAGGCTTCGAAGAAGAACACTCCCGACGAGCGCACTTTTACTTTTTTTTTTACATTACATTACAGATGTTCATATAGTTTATACAAAATAAAATATAAAATTCATAAGATATACTGGTTAAGGTGTTTGCTAAACGGTCACCCTCGACTTAAAGCAGTTTTAATTGCTGCTTTTCCTAGCTTTTCCATCCTTAGATTGCGAGCCTATTTTTATATGTAGAGAATATTATATTTGCGTAATGAAATGTGTATGGTATAGCAGGAGACATTCCGACCACATAAAATATATATCCGAGTGGATAAGGCCATGTCCGTCCGCTGGTTCTGTGCGAACTAGTCGCTTAGCCTTAAGGCTGTCGTCTTGAAATTTTGCATAGGTCCGTCTTTCTCTTGCAGGCAGTACATACATATGTCGGATGCGGATATCATATAGCTGTCTTTAGCAATTTATATTCTATCGCACTGTACAATCTACTGTTGAAAATTTCATTAAGATCGGTTAGATATTAGGTGTAAATACTTTTGGAATGAAATTGATTTTAAATCCAACAATCGAAATTATTAAGCCATACGCAAATAAATATCCCGTTTATGCAAACTAAAGTTATTAAAAACAAAAACGCAAGGCTTTAGCGTTAAATATAAGTTTTATGTATTTTGAAGGCGATGGGGGAAAGTATCCAAAAAGTGAAATATTTGTAATCTATATATCTTAGCTCTTCAGCTCTTTTTTTTTAACGAGCTGGTCGTCTTGAAAAACAAATATTAGTTGGCAAAAATACATACCACTAATTTGGAGGGTCTTAGTACAAAATGGGTATACCCTTCTTACTCATTTTCAATGGATACATATATAGTATATAGTATACATAGGGGAACTGCTATACTTGGCACTCTTAAAATAAAATGCTTTTGCATTTAACAGATGTTCGCTATATTTCAAAATTTCGGATCATAGAATATTGCACACTCCAAAGATATAAATTATGATGTATGTATATTATGGCGGCTTACCCGCTCCGTAGTATACGTGAGTAAAATTATGCTTTTCCTGTTAACAAAAGCTTTGCAAATTAGTTTGAAACTGATCGAATGTAACTTAAAACTTCCCTTATACAAGCTTTAACGTCATTTTCCGCCCAGGATGCGCGGAAACTGAAACTTCGCCACCACTTTGCAATTAAAAGTGGTGGACATTGCGAAAAATGTTAAACACATATCAGATGAATTTTAATAAGCTAAAAGTTATTTTGCACAACCGATTTCAGCAAATTACCCACAGTTTAATTCCTAAGCCGTAGAAATACATATTTAATGAATGAAAGGCTTCGAAAATAACATTATTCATAAAATACTTAAAATTTCGCCAAAAAAATCATTGACCGCCATTTTCCACGAAAGAAGTCTGGATCCCGTAACAAGTGTAAAATAGTTCAATTTTCATAAGAATCCTTGAAAATTTTTTTTAGCCCGAAACTTTTTTTTCCATACTTATGGATGAAATTTCCTAAGCCCTTGGCCGCAGTTAGCGTGAACATTGGTCTGTGAGTTAATCACCAATCAGTTTGTTCCGATGGTTCCGTTTGCCGCTACTTATATTATATGGTGGTCTGATGTTCATAAGAATTTACAGATATAAAACTTGAAAAGGCCGAGTATGAACATTGCTTGCATAGAAAAAGGGGGCAGGACATCGGTATATCAACTCATCTGTTGATGCTGATCTAGGAATTATATAAATATATTTTAAGGGGCCGGAACTGGACAGCAAACAGGATAAAATCAATAAACGTTTAAATGGTCTGCACTTTTTGAACAGTGTATTAAAGGACTTTTTTCTTACCATTGCTTGATTGAACTCACATATTTGTATTTGCGTACATGCACACACATACAAATGTACCTAAGAAAATACATTGGTTATGTTTGCACACATACGAACAAGATATGAAGATGTATAAATATATGAATGCAGTATATTCGACAGTAGTGTTTGTGGAACGACAAATGTACGCACACATGTGTACAATGCAAATATACTCCCAAAAAGGTATTTATTTTTGTTGTTGATAAGTTAGGCATTGAAGTGTATTGTAAATAGCAAATTCTTTTTCATTATAGTGTTATAAATATTTAAATTTCATTTTATTGTACTGTGGCCGATAAGCACTTATTTGTTTATACGCCTATACGGGGACATGCACTTAAATTGGGACGAGAATTTTGCTATTGTCGTGAGCTTTGCTGTTTTATAACATAGCGGCAATCCAGGATAATTTCTGATGAGAAGCACTCAATTTAGATGGGATTGATAGTTAAAACTTTTACAATAAAGATATTTAAAAGCAAAAACAGTTTGTGTCCCGCCACTTTAACTGTGCGAAAAGGATTATGGTATATATTGTATACCATGCCAACTGCAATTTGTATCATTGTAAATAAATGGAACTCACTATAAGGAATTCTTAAGAAAGCGCTTTTTTCACTTATACAACATTTTCCAATAAATTATCGCGAATTAGCCAGCCAGATAAGATAATGTCCCAATCTGTACAACTTGAGTAATGGAGTGCAAACCTAATTCTCCTGTTCTCACTTAAATTAAGAATGTATGGGGTTAGATAGAAGAAATGTATACGAATCTGGATAACAATTTCAGGACGTACAGCCATAAATAAATGCCACCACAGATACCTTAGGCATAATATACCTAAATTATTAAATGTCTCTTTGATGATTTCAAAAATGATTTAAGAAATATTGATTAAAATTAATTACTATTTGTATGCTTATGAATTAAGGCAAATACGCTAAAAATCAGAGTTATGGCAATTTTCAGACGAAAGAAGAAGACTAAAACTACTACCCTTGACCCACATATCCGATCCGAATAAATCGCCACAAAAGTATTTGGATTAATTAATATCCAATGTAAATGTAAGTTACAGGCAGAAGGAAACATCTCCGGCCCCCTAAAGTATATATATTATTGGCCATGTCCGTCTGTCTTCCAGCTGTCCTTTTGTCTATATTTATGAACGCGTCGATTTCAAAAATGTTTACTAACCCTTTTTTAAGCAATAGATAAATATAATTTCTTATTTTTTATATCCATATTTTACATATAGCTTATCAGTAGTGTTTTCCCGTTGCAAGTTTTGTGCTTATAAATTTTTTTTTTATTTTTTTTTTTTTTTTTTTTTTTTTTTAGTTTATTTATTTTTTTTGCTGGATTCGATCAGTGCTTTCTGATCTCTACCAACGGAACGACTAAGGGAATTATGTATAGTGGCCATTTTGTAACTTTTATAATATATGCAATGAAATTATTTATTGTGATGGATAAGGATATGATTAAATAATACGCCTCTTACTGATGGGGTCAGGAGCTGCAGCAGCAGCCTGTGGGCGTATCGGCTGCTAAAGAAGTTTAACTGATCTCCGACCTTTGTTAGGCGAAAATCGCATTCAATGGCGACGGTTGGTACATACCATTGCAGGCCGGCGACCTTGCGCGCTGCCTTGGCTTTAGCCACTCTTATGCTGGTGTGCTGTCACCGTGCTCCAAACTTGGATGGCGTATGTCCAGATGGGCGTTATCATCGTTTTAATAAGCAGCGTCTTTGAGGAAATGTGGAGCTTGCAGTGCGATTTTAAGAGCCAGTCGAGTTTTTGCAGCCTTCTTAGGCATTTTGCTCTTGTTGCTGTGCTGTGGGATCCCCTTATGAGCCTTCGTTCCAAGTGGACGCCCAAGTGGCAAAATGAGCTGGTGTGCTCAATGGTTCCTCCATTGAACTGAAGCCCCTGGCAACTGTCTGGGCGTATCGTGAATGTGACGCAAGCGGATTTGACACAGTTTATGGCGATGTTCCAATTGGCTGTCCAATTTTCGACCTGCAGCAGTCCGTTTGCATTACACTGCATTTGTTGCAGCCTGCAGGTGGTCGTGCGAAGATAGGAAAACGGTTCATCCGCGTACGTTGCCACCAACAATCTCGCGAGACTGAGGTTTGAACTCCATTGTCCTCATATTGGGAGGTCGGCCGTATACAGCGTGTACAGCACCGGGCCTTTGACACCCGAACTTCGGTCTTTGACGGCCACATTGAAGGAGCGTCCTGCCAGGTATGAGCTCAAGATGCTGAAATAAGGCGCAGGGAGTAGGGCTTTGATTTTGCAGAGGAGGTCCAAATTTACAAATCGATTAACAAATGGTGTGTACGTTCTCGTTCTCGTTCTCGTAAGGTAAACGCAGATTTTAATCATTATTCTTCCCTTACTTTTCACTTAACTGATACTACCCCCTTTTGCAAAAACTAACTGTTGAAGAGAGAGTCTTCCGTTTTTGTATTACGCACATTTGTGCGACAAAGCGTGTGTGTGTGCATGCTTATGTATGTGTGTTTTCAGCATGTATGTAAGGAAGAAGCTAGAGTGATTGTAAAGGTAGCTCGGCACAGGGTTCTGATTAGTATTTTTGTATTTTTGCTTAACATCAGCTTCGTATTTAAAAATCATCTTAATTATTGGCTGCGGAATAATGCTATAATTTGTTTTTATTTTCTCATAGTTGTGCGCACATCCACACAACACAAACATATGTATGCTTGTAGATCTCGGGCTTTTGTGGGAAGCTATGCTGGGAGAAAGACATGCACACAAGTGCGCAAAGCCATGAACGAGAGCGAGGCACATACATACACACATATGTTTGTGGGCTGCACCGATTTAAAACTAGCATACATATATTAGGAAACAGCAGCAGCCGCTGCAACGTCGTGCGCCGAGCGAGATGCAGCTTCATACTCAAAGTTTGGCATCCGATGTCAACAATAAGTTGAGTAACCTGCGCATTTTCAAATTAATTTCAATTCGTGGTGGCAGGAGAGTATTTTTCAACACTCATACTTTAAACGTACTCAGAAGAAGCAGTAATGGATTTAGTCTGTAGCCTACGATTCGCATCAAACACCTTTTCCTTTCGCGATTTGCGATTTTGACGAATTTTACTAAGTTAACAACGATTTTAAAACAAATAAACTATGTTAGCCGGCTTGGAACTGATAAGAAAAAATGGTTTGAATTTCTTCGTAATTATTTGAATAAAAACAGAACGCTGTAATATGGCGTAAATGTGCCAGTTTGTGATAGACTCTTCTTAGGAACCGTATTTGTGGGAATGTAGTAGATCCGCTTGGTGCCCGCGCAGATAAGATTTCGATAGGATTCGAAATCGACATTAATTTTCTGGAGTAAATCTCTTAGGTTTTAAGAACTAAAGTAGATGGAGATTCTTTAATTTATAATTTACATATTTTTTATTTTTACTGCGCATGTAGAGCAAGCTGCATTTGGTGTTAGTAGAAAAGAGTTCAGGGTATCCCCCAGTCGGAAACTCCCGACTGTATCCTGTTACTTGTTCTTTTTGTTTGAGTTACCAATCCTAATTTTAATTATCCGATTAATACCCATTCATAAATAAGTACAAAGTGGTATGTTTATTTGTACGAGTGTTAGTAACAGGTAGATGGAAGCTGACCCTATGACCCTATGAAGTACACATATATATATTCTTGGTTAGCCAAGTCAATTTAGCCATATCCGTCTATCCGTATATATCAAAGCGTTGATCGTAAAACCTATAAAAGTTACAAGCTTAAAATTTTGAACGTAAGTCTACCTCCTAATCAGCGATGTAAACCACGATGCTTGCCCCTAAAAGCTGTTCTATTTTCAGAGGAGTTTTACCGCGAAAAAATGTCTATATACAGTGTCATTCACGTTGACTAAAGACACATTTTGGACATTATGATTTCATAAAATAAGTGTTTCTCGCTTTAGCCTGTCCTTTCTTGAGTAATACTCAAAGCGACTTTCAAATTTCAACAGACCTTTCACTGATATTTTATTTTTGCGCGCACTTTTGAAATTTGATACCACCCACTTTTCACCCAACCGACTCATCAGTCGCTTAACAAAAACGAAAACAAACTAAGCTTGCAGGCTGACTACTTGCTTAACAGAACAAAATTTCGTACAGAATACTATGTAATGCTTGTTGTAATCATCACAGACGGCCCGAAACGGTTCATATTTAGTTGAACAAAGTTTGAGCGATAAAGGTATATAATTACGTGCTAGTCTAGTAGGGACAGGTAAAATTAACTGGCTAGTCAACCCAGAAGATAAAGACGACGTCAGCTCTTTTCTTAAATTCATTATTTCCTTCAAACCATTGATTTTTTAGGAAAGTACCTTCAAGAAGGCTAGTGGTAACATATCAACGCTGGGATAGTGAAATAATAAAGTGACATAAATATTACAGTTCTCTCAAAAGCTTTAGGGATAATCTTAAATTTTAGAATGCCTGTACTTGAGAGATCAGCAGAGCCTGGATCACTCTTGCTCTCATCTGCAAACTTAACCGTAGATGACAAACAAGATGTCCTACGTTTTGCTTAGGATTATGAGAGGCGACAAACGCGAAGATAGCATACAGCTTATGGAATTTGCGCAGAAAAATTGATCTGGCAACCGAATAACTGGAGAGATCTTAAACTTCCGACTTTAGGCTTTTTCATCTCAATAGTTCCCTTGATAAGGAGGAAATTAGCTTTTCGGAAAAAACGGATACGTTCCACTAATTCCGATTCTTTGATAGGCACTCGGGCTGGTAGATCAATAACCATATGCAGAATTGGATTCTAAGGGTCTTCAGGAAGTGTAAGCGGATCAATCATGTACGCATCGCTGTCGAACGAATCCAACACGACGATCAGATCAAGGGAGCTATTTCTTGAATTGCGCACCCGATTAACCTGCTGTAAGAACAATTCATAAAAATCATTAAAATATTCATTTGACAATGAGGCCAAGAGAAAATTTGAATCTAATGGCGTTGAACAATCGACATATGGAAGATTTAAGTCCCACGAACAATTTAATCGCGTTAAGTTAGTTTTGGTAAAGAGACATGTGAGATAGTGGGCCTATATAGAAACATAAAATAAGATACAGAAACTTCCAGGTAGAACTCTTACAGCCTTACAGCAAACTTCCAATTAAAACTCTTACAGCCACCAACTCTAAGAGCTGACTCAACAGCTAAGAGTACTCCTCCTCCGATACGGGAAGCTCGATCACATCTATAAGTGGTGTATTTGGCGTTAAAAATAGACGAATCGGAGATGTCTGGCTTTAGCCAGGTCACAGTAAAACCGGTATTGTGAAAATTAAATGCAAGAGAATCTAAAACAGGCTACCAAGTTTAGATCAAAGACCTCTAACGTTCTCATAGGCAAGCTCAAGAAAAGATTTTTTTTTTACACAGCGACTCAAATTGATGCACCACTGGGTACAGGTGATCACAAAATCGGAGTCCGATTTTTTTGGCCATATATTCTTTGAAGGTTAATGTTCCGGCAATTTTTCCACCGTTATACCTGGGACTTGAATTTTTGTATAAAAGCTTTAATATCATCCGATGAGAAGAGAGGGGCAAGCCTAGAAATTAAATTATGTCTCTGCGGTGGAACGCCCACTAGAGGCTTAGGCACCACAAGTGGAACAGTGGGAACACTATCAGGTATGGTGCCTAAAACCGTCGGTAGTGCGGACGGCGAGCCTTCTAGCGGCCGCTGTAAATTTAATTATTGCTGTCGCTCTTTGAGAACTTCTATGACAGCGGACGACTTGCTCAATTGGTTTATCTCATACCGATGTCTTACATTTCGAAACAGAACCAATGTCCACAGCAGACCTTACAGCTACCAAAGTAGCAAAAGAGATAATAGGGCGCTGAATTGCAATCAGAGACTGAAGGGTGTTAGGGAACGGCAAATCACCAGGAGTAAACTTTTTAGGCGCTGGTGAGTCATCAAACAGTTTAAGGTTATTGAATTGGGTATTGAACGTGTACGGTTTCTCACAGCAGAAGAGAGAGCGCAGAGCGAAGTGAAAACGGTGCAGAAAGCAAATGTTTAAAAAATATTCGACACAAGCAACAAGCAGCAGCAAAAATTTCTAATCGTGCGATGCACAAGCAGAAATACGCACCAGGGAATACACGCACAAAAAACTGTACGCAGCGTCAAAAAAAATAACTAAAACAAACGCTTATAACGATAACACGGAACTAACGCCGTTTTCAATAAATGTAATAATTAACAAACTTACGCTGCACAACAGATAGCATTTTGCACAAGTAATAAAAGCTTTTTAAATAAATTACAAAAAACGCAAAATTCAGAAAAAAAAGGCAGTATGGAAGTGCAAAAATATATAACAAGCAAGAGACTCTAGGAGCTCCCGAAAAGATGATTCCCTGAACTCGCTCTTACCAACAGCAAATGCAGCTCAAGCCACGCGCTCGTTTGCTTTAGCAGTTAAAAGAAAAATTGTTCCCTTACTAGAAATCGAACACTTGCAAACGACTCTACTCGACAGCTACACCAGCAATTTAGATCTTACACAGCAGAAAAAACAATACAATCCTAATTGCAATGCTGTTGATAGAATTCAATAAAAACGCGCGTGAATGTGTGTATGTACATACATGTAGACGAAAATTTCTTGCGATTTGCACTGCCGCTTCCAATATACATATGTACGTGTCCCAGTTTTAAAGCTATCTTTATGAAACTTTACAGAAGTCCCTCGTTCTGTTCCACACAGTTCATTTGTCAGAACCAGCTGGATCCGACCACTATATCATATTGCTGACATAGGAACGATCGGTCGAAATTTAAGTTCTTGAATTAAAAGTTGTTTGTTTATCAGGTGTGGCTGTTAGATGGAGGCGGTTGCAAGTAGCGCGGTCTGTTACGAGTTTGAGTCCTATCTAGGGAACTATATAAGTATATAAAGTTTTTGAATTTATCTGTAAGTATTACTGCTAAAACAGGAGGGTATCCCCTCCGGAACTTCTGACTAAAGCCTCTTACTTGTTTAATTTGTTTTTGTCTGCCAATTTCATTGCCGAGTTGTTTGTGTTGATTAATGGTTTTTGTTATTCCTAATGGAAATTGTTTTGAAGCTGCTGGTCTGAAGTTCGGGCGCAATTAAATAAAGTTGTATGTATGTATGCGCATCAGCTCTGTTTATCTTTAAATGTGGGGTATTCAAATATCTGTCTGCAACATCGGAGTCAAAGTATTTTAATCCAGTCGTCCTCTCAATTAAGGACACTCAATATTTGAAAATCAATCTGCATAAAAGCTTTTTAGTGTTCGACGATATTTATCTTTATATTTTTATGGTCTTTGGTATATTTTAATTGTTATATACAAGGAATGCATGTACGTATTTGTACTAGTAGATTCTGATTGAAACCTTGAATAGAAAATATTTTCTAATAAAGGTTATAATAGTGTTTGTAATTATTTTTTTAAGGTTTATGAGCTCGAGAGAAGATTTAAGCAACAACGATATTTGTCGGCCCCTGAGCGAGAACATTTAGCAAGTCTTATTCACTTGACGCCCACACAAGTAAGCAATTAAATATACTTTACTATTAATATTTAAATAAAAAGATATTTTAAAAAGATTAATATTAAAAACCTATCGGGAATGCATATGTACACTCATATATTGATAAGGTTTACCACCAAGTTAGGAGCAATTAAAATAGAAGATATTTGTGTTGCTATCTTTTAAAATTTAGTTTCAAAGAATATCTATGAACATGTCGATATTTATATATTTTTGGGGTAAAATGTAGGTAAATGTGCCTTGCTTTGCGTTGGTTCTTTGGACAAAAATCTTAATATTTTTCAAGTAGGAATTTCTTTAAAAAAAAAAATGTAGAAAGTTTTATATTTTTACAACATTTTCATAGGCTGTAGAGTTGCGCAAAGGTAAAGTAATTTAAAAAGAAACAAGCTCTGGTCGGAACCTCTCGACTAGGGGATACCCGGAACCCTCTTCTACCAACACCAAATGCAGCCCGCAATACGCGTTCGTCCGCTTTAACAGTAATAAGAAAAATTTAAAAAAAAAATTAACTCCGATAAGATTTGAGCTCTTAACAAACCAGGCTACCTGCCGCTGCCTCTACTTATCAGCCAAGCCTACAACTAATCGATACTGAAAAAATAAAAACAATTACAATAGCAGCACATAGACACAGCATAGAAAACAATACAATCGCAATTGCAATGCTGTTGAAAGAATTCAATAAGGACTCGCGTGAATGTGTGTGTAAACATGTACACAGAAATTCTTGCAATTTGCGCTAGCTGAGCTGTCACGTGTAATAACCACACGTTTTTGAACATATGAACGGACATGACTAGATCGTCTTGCCTATTGATGCTGATCAAGAATATATATACATTATTTAAAGGGTCGAAGATGTTTCCTTCTGCGTTTCACATGCATATGCACAAATATGCCCCTTCTACTCATTTTTAATGTGTTCAGTTTTGGAAGATGAGGGTTCTCCCGACTAGAGCCTATTACATGTATTATAAACAACTATACCGAATTAAATGCAGTGATAATAATAAAACTTTTTCTGGACTGTCCGTGTACCAATGTGCAGTAGTGTTTGTTGAGGAACATAAATCAATAAATTACTGGTAATATCTAAAGTTTTAGTTTGTCTCTGTAGGAATACAGTAAAAATACTGTTTAAAACAAAAATAATATTAAGTAAGCATTTAGTCATTTTAGACATTTAGTCTTCTTATGCATAATTTTTATCATTTTTTCTTTCTTTTATCACATCTGTAAGACCGGCTTTACAACAGACTGTGATTAAATTTTCCTCAATGATCATAATAATAATTTTAATAATACAAAAATTAACAATAGTATTTTGATACTTGCATGTAAACCTTTTGTTTGTTTTGAAGTCGCCAAGGAGTGATCTCAAAGAGAGCTGTACTTTGGAGGGACTATCTAGAAAATACCCTGTAGCATAACAAATTAAATAAGAGGCTCTAGACATGAGCTCCCGACTTAAGAATAGCCTGACCTAACACAAAATTAAGCTCTCGCTGCAGTCTCGGTTTAGCAGCAATTCAAATAAATGTAAAATAAAAAAAATGTTTCCGCCATACGTCTCGAACTTGCAATAGACTACTACTACCGCCGCATCTATTCAACAGCCACAACACCTCTTACCTGAAAAAAAAATTAAAATAGAACAACAGAAAACAATACAATCGCAATTGCAATGCTGTTGATACAATATTATTAAGACGGGTGTGAATGTGTGTGTGTACATGAATACAGAAATTTTTGCAATTTTCCCTAGCTGCCGCAAGAACGAGGCCAGCCAAAAGACGTTTTCTTTACGTTTCTTAACCGATCTTGATCGCAATTGTAATGCCGTTAGTAGAATTCAACGAAGACGCGTATGAATGTGTGTGTGTGTGTTTACCTATATGTACACACTATTTCTTGCCAGTTGCGCTTACTGCCCCAACCACTTGCGCAGCAAAATCACATTTTCTTTAATAACTTTTGTATTTCTTTACTGATCTTGATGAAAGTTTCAGCAGTATATCTCATTATACTATAGAATATATTTATATATTCAAAAAGTCATTTGCAAATAAGTGGGCAACATAAGTGGCACTATCTTTGTTATATACCATATTTGCTCAAAAAATAAGATTTTTGGAATTTGTGAATTTCGAGCTCGATATACACACATATACAAACACACACAAATGTGTGCAAATGAACTGATTAAGGGGTTGTCGTGAGACAGAGATATTTTCATCAATAGGTGCGTAAATTTGGGCGACAGGCACGGTCATTGTAACACAGGTGATATGCACAAAAATGTAAGTGATCTTTTTATGAATTTATTGAAATAATAAATATTTTAGGTTTAAAGGGTTTATGACAGGCAATTAACAATCAGAATGCTTAGCATGCGTCTGGATCGGTATCAAAGTGCAAACGAGCGCTTAGTTGTATACAACCTTTTTATACCCCGAAATTATTGAAAATGGGTTAAAGCGTATAATGAATTTGCATCCACAGCCAAGTCGATCTAGCCAAGTCCGTCAGTCTGTTCGAATGTTCAAATTCAAGGATCTCAGAATCTTTAAAAATAGAGAATTTTAGGGCTAGATCCTTCTAGTGCCCGGTAAGATTTTAATAAATAATAAGAGCTAGAATCACCAAACTTAACATGTCGCCTCTAGAATAGTATATATATGTCAAGAATCTTTCATTTTATAGCTATCGCCACCTCCCCGCTACCATCTCATAGATATAAATCAATTAAATAAACCAATTTATGCTGCCCACCAATTAGGGATATATTAATATTCTATAACACAATAGGATCACCTGTAGAAATTTTCATCAAAATCGGTTAAGAAATATAGAATTTATTAAAGAAAACCTGTTTTGGCTGGCCTAGAGCTTGGGGCAGCAAACGCAAATTGCAAGAAATTCTGTATACATGTACACACACATTCAAGCGCGTCTTCTTTTCCTTCTATTATCAGTTCTGTGTTTTCTGTGCTGCTATTTTAATTTCTTGTTTTTCTCATTTAGACTCAATTTTTGGTGTGGCTGTTGATTAGAGGGGGCGGTCTGTTGTAAGTTCGAGCCCTACTGAGCAAACTATTTTTTTTATATAAATTAATTTCATGACTACTAAAGCAAACGAAAGCGTAGCTCGAGCTGCACTTGGTGTTGAAAAAAACAGGATTCAGGGTATCCCCAGGGTATCAAAATATCTGTGGTTTTTTTTTTCAATACCAGCCCATGGATCACCATGAAAATATCTGCCATAGAAATAATTGAGGGAAAATTTTTATGTTTTATGAACCTTTTTATATATTTAAGGTATCTTAACTATGCTCACTATGTTTCTTGCATACAAGCAAAATCTCATTAACATCGGACTTCCTCATATGTCTTTATAGCTTCCTATCAGTCGAACAATTCAAATCTTTAACAAACTTTTACGGGAAGCTCATATTTTCTTCACATAGAACCCGTACCCCTTGTGTGTACAAGGATAAACTATGTTTGGCTGGCTCAAGATGCATATTCTTTCTTGTTTCAATATATAACCATAACTTATGCACACCTCAACCGGTTTCAATGACTAAGACGTTTCAGCTAATTTTATTGTAGGGCCTATAAGTCGATTTTTGTACATGTAAGCCGATAGTTAATAGTAATAAAAGCAAGCAAGCGTGCCTTAATCGGGAGTGCCAAAAAGATACCTTGAGCCCATTAATCTTGCTTTTGTTTGTCAGGACATAAAGTCTATTATCCGATAACAACACCCAATTTGGTATGCCCATTTTTTGCATCTATATATATGCTCAGAAAATTTAGTTCTAAATTCGAGCGTTATCGGTTTCGTAAACACCGGGAAAATTTATGTATGCAGACAGACGAAAGGTCACCACGGCTTTTGAAGCTGATTTTGAATATATAATCTTTATGAAGCCAGAAAACGCCTCCGTAATTTTTAATTCGACGCCAATGTCTATAAAACATCAAGTATGATTTAAACTACGTTTTCGATTCATATAAAGAATAGTAAAACTGATGCCGTTTGTGGCCAATAAATACTTGTAGATATACATATATTTGTACAAACCACTATTGGAAATGCAATCTAATTTAATTCATGTTTACATTGCTGAACAAATGTTGGGAATGGCGAAAACAAAACTTTACACTTTAAATATAATATAATTGTCATTAGGTTAAGCAATTACTTTACTAACAACAGCTACGGGGTGTGACGTGTTATAACAATAAAAATATTTGAGTTGTGCATTGTCACCCTTGAGTTTTATTATCTGGAAATTTTATACAATACCTACCCATCTAAACAGGAGTGGTGATTACCTTAGAATAAAGCATCTCTAGAGCACATTGAAATACGTATGCGGACAACAGTGGCATGTTTTTGAAAGATAAAAACGCATTAATGAACAATGGGGGAAAAATAATATATTTAAACTCACCCCAACTTTTGTATTGAAATATGCTCATTGTTTGAACACGCTCTCCCTATAAAAGGTTCTTGGTATTGTGCTCAATGAAAAAGTGTTTGGTGTAGTGAAATAATTTAACTTATGAAGCGGAATACATATCCTATTATACACGAGTTCTTTCTACCTATATATGTATGTGTGTACTTCACAAACGATTGATAAGTGAGTTAACTATTAAAAAAGGAAACCACAGAAAATAACAAATTGTATGTGGCTATAAAAATGTTTAATATAATGGCAACTAATTTTAATCTGTATTATAACAATTATGCTGTAGGCCAAGTGTTTTGCGTTTTGCTAATACGCTTCTTTTTAATTATCCCTGTTTTTATACCCTGAACCCATTAAAAGTGGGTATAATATACTTGTCTAAATGTATGTAACAGCCAAAAGTAAGCACCTCAGACCCCATAAAGTATATATATTCTTGATCAGCATCAATAGCCTAGTCGATTCAGCCATCTGCGTCTTCTGTCCGTCCGTCCGTATGTCCGTACGTATTAACGCAACGATCTCTGAACCTATGAGAGCTAGAGCAGACAACTAGCTGTGGGTCCTCCTAGCCCGCACAGATCAGGTTTGTTTCCGATATTTGATGGCTTACCCCGTTTCCAAGTAATCGATAATAATCGATATCGAAATCCTGATTTTTGAGGAGCTTTGGTAAGTAATAAGAGCAATGACCAATTCCAAGGATTTCTGTATACGTGTCCACACACATTCCTGAGAGTCTGCTTTGAATTCAAAAATTCTTGTAAAATGAGCTTGCTGCCCCAAGCTCAAGGCCACCCAAATTCTGTGTTTCTACAGTAGATCTAATTTTGCTATAGAAAATTTCTATATCTTCAAAAAGTCAATTGCATTTAAATTGTGGCTTATATTAGTGGGCAGCTTAAATTGGTTTATCCACTTGATTTATATCTATGAGGGAGAAGCGGGCAGGTGTGATGGCTATAAAATGGAAGATATTTAATACATATACATACTATGTTAAAAATTACATGTCAAGTTTGGTGACTATAGCTCTAATTATTTATCAAAACCGATCAAAAAGCATAATTTCGATATTGATATTTATCGATTACTTGGCAAGTAGGACCTACAGCTACAGTTTTAATTCTCTAGCTCTTATAGGTTCTGATATTCTTGCCCTCATACATACGCAGACGACAAACGGACGGAATGAAAAATGGACGGACCGACAGACGGTCAGACAGAGGAACATGGCTAGATCGGCTCGGATATTCATGCCTATCAACGCATGTGGTCGGAGGTGCTTCCTTCTGCCTGTTGCATACATTTGCACAAATACATTATGCCTTTTTTACCCACTTTTAATGGGCTCAGGGTATAAAAATGAATTAATGAGCGATTTGCGCGAACACCAGCCACCATGAAGCACTTGTGGCTTTTTCAACGGTGAGCGGAGACAACTTGTAGATCGGCCTTTTAAATTTTCCACTACTGGCTAGTTCAAAAATGGGCGGATCGCTCGGAGTCCATCTTCCGATAAATTTCCCATAATTTCTATTAGCAGTCGAGGTTTACATCAAAAGCAACGGATACATGATCTCACTGTCTGACGACAGACCGCTAAGACGTTGATTAGCCAAAGTCACTCACTTTATAAGTCTTTCCCTACTCGCAACAACAAAAAGGAGCACCAAAACACAAATTACTCATGTATAAATGGATTGAGACGCTGCATGCTTCATCGAACTCTATCTATGTCAGCTATAAATTAAGCTCGTTAGATGACTCCAACTATTTTCTCGAAAGTTTTATTCCGTTCGCGCGCCATAGGGGTATTCTCAAATTGTACTTATTGGTTCTTACATTTTTTAATAAAGCGGAACACATCAGCAAACACTCTCTGCAGCAAACAGCCTCTATTGATAGTTTCCAAGATATCTGGTCGGTCTACCATAGCTGCTAGTCCAAAGGCTGTTTTGCGTACTTCTAGAGTATGCATCTCATCTGTCATCAGCTGCTGGTTAACTGGCCAGGATCTTCTTGGTTGGCTCATCGAACCACATCGACGCAAGTATTTCATAAATATCGCACCCCCTTGATTCAATATATGTATGCTGGGTTTTGCTTTGTAGGTACATTCAACTTTCTCTGTCCATTCTTGGATTTCAGGGACTCGACGCAAATGTTGTCAAAGACGAAGCATGTGACCAAATCCAATGACGCGCGACTTCAGAATCAGACCAAAGAACCGTCCGTTCAATGGGTAATCTTATGAGATTTCTGACGCGATGTCAAAGATCTGCGAGAAGGTGAGCGGCACACAACTCAAGTCGGAAAGAGTTCTCTTCTTGAAGGGGGCTACTTTAGATTTGGATGTCAACAACAAAATACGACAACCATCCGTTTGCATTGCGGAGAACTTATGAGGATTCGAAAACCATTTGGTTATTTCAAAACCTACGCTTTCGAGTATTTACGACACTGTAGACTTAATTGACTGAAGGTTCTCTATGCATGCAAAAATTGTGCTTGATAACGTCAGCCGCTTCAAGGCTTAACGACTCGCTCATCTCGCTTAGGTTTGTTTGCGGATACAGTGTCAACCATTGATCTCAAAGATTTTCATTTAATAGTGGACATTCATTGTCGAATAACCTTTTTAGGCTGTCTAATAATTTAAAATAATTATCCTCAGTGACTTGAAACGCTCTAACAGTGCCTAAAGCTTTAACAGACATGAGATCAGATGACTGAAATTCTCTATGCTCAAGATCGGATGATCATTATGAACGAGAGTTTCGAAGAGACTTATCAAATTCTTAAACTCAGAGTATCTTCCACTAAACTTGTGAAGTACCAGATGCGGAAAACGTGTGCGTGGTGCCGCAACGGGCATGCCTGCAGGCGTTGCAGGTCTTAATTTCTTGACAACGGACCTTAGACGAGCTTTTGTAGTTATACAGAGTTCTTTGAGCTCGGCACGATACTCATCATCTGGGTCAAGAGTTTCGTCTGATATCTTAAAGCTGTATCTATATGTGAGGCCAGTATTTTTAGTCTACATTCTAACTCTGTATATTCTAGGTTTTTTTTACTATTTAATTTATGATCATTTAAACGCATTATGCGTTCCTTTCCTTAGTAGCCATATTTGACTCTAAATTCGATTTAATAATTATTAATTAAAACGATAAAAAACCACTCGCATAAATTCTACATCCTGCCATATCACTACCAACGCGCATTTCTAGGATGGCAAACTATGGTGACTTTTTAAGCAACTTCACTTTCTCAATAATTACCAAAACATCGAAGGAAAATTTAAATGCTGACTACTTTTCTCGATTACCACTCGATAACGGTATCCATATTAACACAGAAAATCGGGACGAATTCAATAATTTCATAGAATGAAAAATAAATCAGCTTTCATTTACAGCTTCGCTAGTCGCACGAGAAACCAGAAAAGACCAGAATTTCGGCAAAATTTCGCAAATACTGGAGATACAGGCCAATGTATTACAAGAAATAAATACAAATCACCAGAGGGCAAGTATGAGATATCGTATGGCTACATTTTTCGAACATCGTGTGATAATCCCGACTAAGCTTCAAAAATTGATCTTGGACTACACAGGGCCCACTTGGGTATAGTTAAAATTAAGAGTATAGCACGCTCTTTCGTGTATTGGCCAGGAATCGATAAGGGCATCAAAAATGCGGCAAGAACATGCTAGTTCTGTGAAAAACATGCTCCGATCACTATCGAGAATACCGTCAGTTGCCTTGGGGCGCATTCACATCGACTTCGCTGGCCCATTTGAAGGTACGATACTTTTGATTGTTACATACTCAAAGTAGTTGGACATTACGATCACTAAATCAATTACGGCAAAAAACAAGCGCATTACTAAATGAGTTATTTGCAAGGTGTGGCATTCCCCTTATCCGAAATGTTCAAATGGTAAAAAGTGCGCTTCAGGTAATGGAAACAACACTCAACACACTAAAATGAAACGAAAAGGAATTATTGCAACAAAGTAGAAACGCACCGGGCAGCACAACTGGTGAATCTCCAGCGACGTACACGACTGGATTTAATTAGACCAGAAACCATCAAGGAAAATGTACCAGCAAAAAAATATTAAAAATGCAAGCAAACCGGCAATTTGAGATTACAGAATACATTCATTGTTTTAGAAATTTTTAGATGTTTGGGGACCATCATTATGAAATTCGACACATCAATAAATGCCACAAAAGACATATCAACCAGACCCGAGATAGAGGGTTGAAGCAGGAGGACAGCAACAACAAAACATAGAGGGAAGGAATCCAGAAAGTACTTTTTACTAAACACCAGTAAACATCAGCAAAACTAGCAGATCAGAGACCAAGAGAGTACAGCATTGGATCAGATCTAACTAACGACAGTAGACAGGACAGTCAGGCCGTCGAAAACGCTAACTTCAGTACACCGAAAGCTTCGCGCACAGTTGGAAATAAAAGTTCACTAAATCAAGATGTACTGATCTCAGCACCAAGGGGATCGTCAACACCTATAGAAACACCAATGCGAACAGAGCAAAGTGTACGTCACTTGACTCGAGTTCATAACCCAAGAATGGTATTCTTACTATGCTAATCATCAGCTGAGATTATGCTGTTCCCACAGCTTATTTGGCGTGGACAAAAATTATGTAACACTGTTTCACTCCGATGAAACTTTGAACTAATCGAATTTGAGCGTGCTTAGGGTGCAAAATTTCAAATATCTAAATATTATATTTCCCAGGAATAGCGCGGATAAAAAGATAAACGGAAATGCATGAATCGACTCGACTATAAGCTTTATATAGACATAAAATTTTGTTTCAAATCATCAATAACTTGCTCGTTTCCATGCAATTGATGAATATCTTTATCAAAATCCTGTTATTTTTTTTGGCATTTTTCGTGTTTTAAGAAATAGAGTCAATAAATTTAGTATGTATCTTGTATAGTTTTACTGTTGACAAAACTTTTTTTATACCCTAAATCCATTAAAATGGATATAATGTATTTGTGCAAATGTATGTAACCGTGGGTCGACACTTCTTCAGGCTTAGCCTCAGGTTAACCTCTCTCAGCCACCGTTCCTTCAAGGTGGTCACATGTTTCTCCTTAGTCATCAGTGATGATATCGTCCAGATAGGCAAAGGCATGGGTCTCCGTTTCTGTTCCCATTACCGAATCCAAGGTCCTTTGGTGCTGATCCACACTTGGGCCCGCATGCCCACATCCACTGACCTCTGTCGTAGTTCCCCCTAGAGCGGATCCTCATTCCTATCGTACGGAGGGAGTCCATCCCAAGGATCACGGGGTCTAGCATTGACGGTTGGTCTTTGCCTGTACCATCCGTGCGACATCTAGCCCCCATACTTCCTGACAACTGACAACAAAGTGCAAAAATACAGTACAAAAAAAAAAAAGAAACAGACAACGGAGGAAAAAGCAGATTGGGTGAAATAGCTGTACCAGGACACCATCAGCAACAGCAGGTTGGTGTCGCACCTTTTTACACCAAAGATACGCCACGCCACGGCCAACAATTTTGTCTGCTAGTTTTGAAGCTGAGTCAAAGAGGAGTGACCAATAAGTCTGCTGTGCTGCTAACCTTGGGCAATGAAAGACATCATCCAGTGAAGGCAACGGGCAACTAACCTAACTCAACGAAGGGACTATAGACTTGGTCATCCGAAGGAGCAAATTGGTGACTGTGCAACGACCGACGGGTCTCACCAAGAGATGTCCTTGGCGACGCAACGAGCCAAAAGTACCGTCACGCCATCGCGGCTATTTTGTACGACGAATGAGGACGGAAGCTAAAAGCAAAGGTAATAGCAGCGTAAAGCAGATTTTAAACGTCCGTCGTCGTTTGCGCGCGAGATGTGACACCACGTCGTTTGCGCCTCTTACTGAAAACTAACAAAAAAACATAAAAAAAAAAAAACAAAAAACGAAAGAGTGGCAAATAGTAATGTCCCTAGGAAAAAAGGAAGAAACAATAAGAACAAATATTACCAAAACCTCGCCAAACAGTGACGCCACGCCATCGCGACCATTTTGCACGACCAGCGGGAGAAAAGCGAAAATCAAAGACAAAAGCAGCGTAAAGCAGAATATGCACACATATAGAGTTATGAGGAACGGAAAAGGAGCGCCTAATAGTGAACTAGCCCCATAGGCCGGAGGTCAAGTTTCTGTACTCGTGGGTGAAGGTCCATCCGTTTATTCACTTTAAGCAATGCATCAGATGCTTTAAGTTTGGACACTTGGCGCAAAACATCAAGGATAGCTCCACGTGCTACAAATGCGGAGTGGCACACGAAAGTGACATCCTGTGGACAAGCACCGCATTCGCCAATTGCAAGGAGGATCATGTTGTCACTTATCCGCAATGCAACGCCCGCAAAAAAACGTTTCCTTTTTATAGTTGCATGATCATTGGGAACCTCTCAGATCTGAATTCAGGCTTAGGTATCCCATTCTATTTGAAAACCAAACGCCAAACCTGCTCAATAGGGTCACCTTTCCTCCAATCCGTCCGCAAGGAAGGGGTCGATCTCCGAGCACTACTTTCTTCTTCAGAGTGGTTCGGGGTCCAGCAAGGTCCAACACGCTAATAAGACGGCAAAGAACCCTTTCAAACGCCGGTCTCCTTCAGAAAAGTCTGTTGTTGCTCGTGGAGGACGACAAGCAGCTCTGAGCACACGATTAGAAAAAAAAAAGCTCAACGTCCGCAGTGCAGAACGATTAGCAGCAATCAAGAAAATGTAACACTTAGGAACTTTATTTTGGAGCTTAATGACTTTATAAGCAGAAGCCAAACAGATCTTGATGTATATCAGATCTCCCTATTATCGAGGAATGACTAATGATAATTCTCAGGCTTAACATTCAATCTAATCATCTACCCTGACAACAATGTGAAACATGCGATCGATAAAGCCTCGCACATAATTTTCAGCTGCAGCAACAGACAGCCAATCGACAAAAATTTCCATCACTAACCAGACACACCAACATATAGGAATACAATTTCTAATTTCTCACCTTATAAAACAAAATCACGTAAAATTTCTGACTTGGCATTTTCCGCCGTAAGGTGGGCGGCCAAATAACCCTACATTGGACACGTGTGGCAATCTAAATAACAAAAAAAAAACAATATAGACATACAGGTCGTCACCTTATGTGTTCCCAATGGTTTCAGGGCATAATTAAAATAGATCAACACATAAATGCATTCATTAATATATGTGCTATTTGTTCGATTGCCCAAGCTGTACAAATTACATTTTTTTACCTTTTACCTGGTAAATTTCAGTACTATAAAAATTTCATCAAAGTAATTAAAAAGTGAGAGAATGTAAAGGCGCTTTTTCGATGCATAACTAAGTAAAAGCCGTTCCATTGCCTTCAAAATAAAAGGTGATAGGCTGGTCGTAACATAAGAGCAACTCGGGATGACACCCGACCCTCTATAGCTACCGTTAGGTTACGTCCAATACACAGGTAGACACGATAAGCAAAACGTAACGTATAAATAAGAGCTGCTCGAGTTTACCTTCGACTCTCTTTGGCTACCCGTGACGTCAATAATCTAGGGATAGTCGAGCACAAACAACAAATGCCGGGCTTATCTCACGGACGACGGGACATGGCCTCGTTTAGCTAAAACAGATTAGCACGGCACTGTTAGGTTAGTTGTAGGTTAGATTGAACGACGAGATAGTCTAATTCGAAATTATTACGTTTTTTAACAATTCACTATTTATACTCGTTCACTCACTGACTTTCTCTTTTAGCAAGTATCTCGATCAAAAACTTCTCGTTACTAATCCAAAGAAATTAAATACTTGTCAGGCTTCTTGCCTCAATTACACCTATTTATTTAATACACTTATTTAACAATCTAAATAAACCCAATCATTTGATAATTAACTAAATTGGCTTTCATATTTTCAGGTAAAAATATGGTTTCAAAACCATCGGTATAAGTGCAAGCGACAAGCCAAGGAAAAGGCAATGGCCGAACAAAATCAACACAATCAGGTAATAACCTTAAGCCTTGTCTTACTCTCTAGTAATAAAGTATGCCGATGATGATTATTTGTGCCTTACATATATATACACAAGTTATATATGAATATTCTTAATCAGCATTAACATCTGTCTATCAGAACCTATAGGTGCTAGACACACCTAACTTGGCATGTGGACTCTTAATATACAGATATCTTATGTATTTCATTCGAGCTTGTGTGCTCTGTTAAAGCTCATAACAAGAAGGCTCTAAGTATTTTCATAGTTTTGTGAATATATATAAGACGAGAAAAACGAATTTTATTAAGTATTTTATTTACTTATTTTATTTATCGGCATCAAAAATGGATCCATATCCGTGGGTCCGTCCATATGTATGAACCCATTAATCTCAGATCATATAACTTGCCCTTTTCGCAAGCAAAGATAAAAATCGAAATCAAAATCCTATTTTTGAGCAAATCCTTATGAGTTATGAGCTAGAGCAAATTTGATTTGGTTTAGATTCCATTTTGGGGGAACTTTTTTTTATTTATTTTAATTAGAGCAAAAACAAACGATCTCTTAGCGCAGTGTTGGTAGAAGAGGGTTCAGGGTGTCTCCTAGTCGGTAATCCCGAATAGAGCTTCTCACTTACTATTTTTTGCGGATTTTAGTAACAAACTTGCTATTTTGTCGACATTTCTTTCAGTTATTTTTTTTTTTGATAGTTCGATATAGTTTGAATTTTCAATGTTTGACCGAGCTACTCGATCTTTATAGCGGTTTTCGCGCCTTACCGTGCTATTATGCGCGTTATCGATCAGGCCACACAACTAAAATGCGTTCATCGTGTCGGTGATTCCAGTAGAAATATGTGCATTATTATTTAGGCTTTTAGCATTTAACTTTCATATTTTTATGTATTAAATAATTAGGCAGACACTTTTTTGTTTAACATTAAAAAAATAACTAAATAAATAGGTATCATGCGCTGATTACTTTCATAAAAATCGAGCAATAAACACCACAGCTATTCAGGGAAGAAATGCATTGCGGATGGCTAAGATATGAAGTAATATAGCAACTGTTTAAACTGCGCAGCCTTCGTGCGTGTATGTGTATTGTATATCTAATTATAAAAGGAAGCGAGAATGTTTGTAAATTTATCTGGGTTCAGAGTATGGAAGAGTGAAATGGACATACATATAAACATATTCTGTTTTAATTTTTTATTTTCAGTCTGCAAGCTCGCCAAGACGCGTCGCTGTTCCAGTTTTGGTAAAGGATGGTAAGCCGTGCCCTGGAGCAAATAATGCAGCACAACCACAAACGCTTAATAATAGCTCAACAACTTCTGGTAACAACAGCAATAATAGCAATGGGAATGCAAATGGTGTAACTGGAACAGCTGCAGTTACAGCCAATGTACCGAGTGTACTAAATTTGATCCCTGGAGATACACCTAACTCTCACTCACCTGATACATCTTCATCTCTAATAGCAAGTTACGGTGGGACAGTTGGAGGTTCCAATGCTTCTATGTTACAACAACCCTGCAATAATGCTCTTATGTCAAATAGCTTAGCTATGGCTTATCGAAATCAAAATAATTTTATATCGAATGGTCATCAGCAACAGTGTGGAGGTTATTTGCCATTGCAAGGTAGAGCATGGTAAAATCACCTTTATCATGACATTCTTTCGGTTCTGTAGAAACGTACTCAATTCAGTTATATGTAAATTTACTGACAACAGAAATTAAAAAAAGTTGTTCAATTTAATTTCAGTTTCATAAAATGAAATTTTTGCTTATATACTATCAATAAAACATAAGTTATAAAAAAATAAATAAAAGTTTCCAAAATCCTCTACAAAATGAATTATTAGCAATAAGTGTATATATTTATAGGTCAATGTATTAAACAATAAACT